AATTACTAGGAAGAAAAATCCATGCGTTGCACAGGATACAGAAGAATGATATAGAGGTTTAACTTATGCGACTTCTGATCGAAGAATAGAAAGGATCTCTTTTAATGGGATGTCCATTAAAAGATTAAGATGGTTAATCATTTTGCAGATTAATTTATGGAAAACGCTCGAAATACATGGAATAAAAACAAGATAATCATGAGAATTTATATATAGGAATTTATATTTATATTAAAATTTATATTAAAATTAAAGTATTTATATTAAAATATTTATATTAAAATTATATGTATTTATAGTTTTGAGGATTAATAACGAAGGATATGAAGAGAATATTCAAATTTTTAATAAATCTAACAAATCTCGATGCTAAAGTATGAAATTAAAAGTCAGAAAACATTAAAATTTGAATCGCTCGCGATCCAAGATCCCAAGATCTCGAGATTTTTCAAAAACGCAAATCCACTTTCTAACCACTTTCCAACACCACTTTGGCAACAAAGAAATACTCGAATTCACTCGTGTTTCTTAACGCGAAATAATTAACAGCGGATTAAACACTTGTCACACTTTCTAACGAGCGTTTCCAACCAGGATTATCATTATCGAACGATGATTATCCCTCGAACGAAATTCGTAATTTCGAATCGAATTGTCCCATGGCGAGACAATGATTTAGAAAGTGTAACGAGATTCGTTTGAACGGAAATCGCGCGGAAGGTAAACAGCTTTTCCCAATTACCATATAGATATCCCCGCAGCTGCGGTTTCTCGTTGCAGTTTTACTCTGATAAAATCTCTTATTTATATCCGCTATCCAACATTCTAATCTAACGTCGTTACGCAGAACCGATGTTATCGCGGAACCTCGAATTACAAAGAATATTGCATACGATCAATACAATTTTTAATACAATCCTCTCCTTTTCTTTCTCTTTGCAGTCGGTGTATCGACGTCTCAGAAATAAATAAATCATATAAAATAAATCGTTGAAAGAAATTATTGAAAATTACTTCCAGTTAAATTATCCGATTTTCTGACATCTTCGTTAAAATAAAAATTATATATAATGAGAACCCAAAAGAAAATTAAAATTAAATTAAGAAAGAAGAATTGCACGAAGAATGATATACTAATAGTGAAACGATCCGATTAATTCCTTCCACGATGCGTCTCTCTGCTAATCCAAAAAGGGAAGAAGTCTCTTCCGTCGTCCATTAACGTTTTCTAAACCGAAGAAATTCTTCTTCCACGAATATGAATCTATATCTCTCTTCGTTTTCGCAATGTATCCTCGAGATGACGCCCATACAATGGCGGAACACGGGTGAGTCACGGGTTTTTATTTAAATCGAGATGACTCGAACATTCGACTCGATATAATCTCTCTTGGATTACCGCGAGCTCGTTTCTCCTTTTCAATTTCCAGTTTTTGGAAGTTGGACGGGATATGATGATTTATCAAGGAGCCTCTCTCGTTTTGCTCTCTTTGACGGCCGATTCGGTAGTGCGCAGCTGCGAAGAAAGTTGGGAAAGTGCGTAATCGTTCGAGATCCCTTTGGCGATCGAATGAGAACACAGAGACCGGCCGAGTTTTTTTTTTTAACAGCTTTCAGAGGAAATGAAAATCCTGCGTGACTACTCTTGCGCCTGGCCATTTCTTGCGCCCTTCTTCCTTTGCTGGTTTAGATTTAACCATAGTTTTGATTCTCCGTTAAAAAAAATTCTTCTTCTATTTATTTTCGACTTTCAGAAATTCGAGGATAGAAAAAGAAATTAATTTATTTCGAAAGAAAAAAGTTTATTTATTTCTGAATATTGATTATTAATTTTAAAAAATTCGCGAATAATTTATATATTCTTTACATTTCTTCTCGAACGAAGAAGAGCTTGGCGCAAAAACTGGGCAAATCTTTTTAAGATTCTACTCTAAGCTTGATCGAAATTTTATTATATTTTCAACTTTTCAAGGATCGGACAAGTTTTTATCCAACGAAAAATCGGTGTGGAGAATTTCAATTCGACACGGTCAACACGATTCCCATCTTCGAAACTTATCCAATTTTTATAGCAATATTTTTTATTTCGATCAATCCATCGATCAGTTCAAGCATCAATCAATTTTTCCGAATCGAAGCGAGAAAGAAGGGGAGGGCGAAGAAGCGTGACACCGGCCAGCCAATTTGCTGTTGCTTGAAATTTTTCTGGCTTGCTAGGCAGCCTAAGAACGATGATTCCGTTTTATTTATAAACGGCAGGACACGGTGATTCGCGTGCGCGCAACGAGCTGCCGGGTTGAACGCCTCCCGAGTGCAACAGACCCGATAAAACGGTAACAGACCGATTCTCTCTCTCTTTCTCTCGCCACTCTGTCGCAAAATTGTCCGACACGTTCGACTTTCCATCTGGAATCATCCCAGATGAATGGATACCTCGAGCAAACAGCATTACCCCGTTCTTGCGTAATCTTGGAAAAGAAGCATCGCGATCGATCTCTCGCGTGACGTGGAAAGATTTTATTCTCGAAAATGGAAAAGTATTCGATTAATCCAACAATGATTTCATCAGGCTAAGAATAATCCCAAAGTCATTTGAGAAACGTCTTATTCAAGAGACTTATAACTGTAAGAAGAATACAATGACGAAGGATTACGTGATGTCAATTGTATTATACTCGAGTCAGATGATCGTGTTAATAATCTTCCTATAAATTCATATTGTTTTCACTAGAGAGGAGAAGAAGTATTGCTCGTATTCCCAAAAAGATATAATACTATTAATCGACCAGTTCACCTCGATCTCGAATTAATATCGATCGACGCCATAAAATCATGGACACTGGTTCGTCCACCTAAAAAAATACAACAATTTAACTGGAACAACGAGAAGGTTAAATCCTCGCATTGAATCCTCCATGAGAAACTGTTATATATATCGTGAGAATAAATTTGTGGATTTTATCTTTATATATTCGTCAAAGAAAGTCAAGATCTACACGAGTTCGATTGTAATTTCATTATTCTATATGAAGAAAGTAAAATTATCCTTCGAATTTTATTATCAATTTCTCCTCTGTCTCTACTCGATCAAAACCGATCAAAATTTAAAATAATTTAAATTTCCCATTGGTAGACAAATTTCTTAATACTTCGCCCACTTTGCATAAAGGCAAAGCTTTCTTAAATAATTTCGATCGTACGTAAGTTACACTCACACGCGTCGATCGTTCAAAAAATCGGCTGCCCGTTATGCAATTAGCCTTGGCGGATGCGTTTCTCGCGATGATGTTCTCGGATTTGTTTGAAGCGGATAGCTATCCTGTTAGGCCAGAAATTAATCGGCCGGGTTAAAGTTGCGCACGAGCCTCCCGCCTCCGGCTATTTATGACGTCGTCCCTACGTGCAACGACGATCGCTATTCGCATAGGCGAAACCGTATCGCGACGGAACCAACGTGTCCACCGACTTTCGTCCTGTCACGATCCATCTCGAATGCCAACGAGAACATAAAATGGACGATGAAAAATTGAACGTGACATCGAACAGGAAAAGGGATGACGAGATAATCGTCTCTTTCTCGAAATCTAATTCGTTCGAGTCAAGGAGAGAAAAAGTTGAAATTACTTTGAAATGCATCGAATATATAACGTTCATTTACGTTACAGCAGATACGCTTTTCGTATAATCTCGGCTGTTTTGTTACGTTGAACGATAAATTGAAGTATTATATTTATTGAAGTAAGTTTTATTCATGGCTTACTTCGACTTTTAAATTTCGTTGATTCGCAGAATTGATAATCACGCGACCACGCGTCGAACTCGCCCAACGATCTCTCCTATGCGAGCGTCGAAGTCTCCGAAACGAAATCTCTTATTATAGCAATTTCAACGTTTCGATTGATCGAAATCTACGAGAAAATTTACACGTAACGAGTGATTTTGATCGAATCAATTTATCAATTTACAAATATCAATGAAACAAAATGAAGAATAAAAAAAAAAGACAAAGATCGAGAAACACAAAGATCGAGAATAAAGTAGAAAAATAACTTTTTGCATTACTAATCATTTATCATTAACTCGTTCCCCTTTTCTTAATCCTCTCCAAACCGATGCTCAACACCAACATCTCATCATCCCCCATAATCGAAACCAACTTATTCCTTACATTCCTTCCAAAATTTTCCTTTTCTCCTCTGACTCCTTCCATATCATTTCTCCACAGAAAAATAAAAAAAAAAAAAGAAAAGTAGCTAATTAATCGAACTCCTGGAAACAGACGATGGACACCTTTATTATTGAGAGAGCGAGGAGGATCCACCATGCGAGACGCGTAGGAAACGCGCATCAGAGGCGCAACCCTGCACAATTTCATCGTTGATAAACAAACAAGGAGGTGAGCGGAGCTCGGCCGTCTCCGTTGACGCCACGAGTCAACCCGAGTCCGCTTCTCCTCCACCTTCTCCGACTCGCCTACGTCTCCTTCCCTCCCTCTCTCTCTCTCTCTCTCTCTCTCTCCTTCTCCCTCTCTCTTCTCCCCCCTCCTCTCTCCGCCTCTCGGCGCGTCTTCTCGGGGAGAGATGCTCATTACCCCCGCCACCCGCCCCCCCCCCCCCCCGACGCGCCTCCGTCTCCTTCCCTCCCTCTCTCTCTCTCTCTCTCTCTCTCTCCTTCTCCCTCTCTCTTCTTCCCTCTCCTCGTTCCGCCTATCGGCGTGTCTTCTCGAGGAGAGAAGCCTCTTACTCAGGTAACTCGCGCCGTTCACCTGGAGAGAGAGAGAGCCGGGCTCCTCAGTCTCGAACCGGTGGGCCGGAGGGAAGGAGCTCCGTGACCCTGAATCCAATCCGTTCGTCTATTACAATTTCATCCATTATTATCCGTTATCTTTTTTCCCTCCCCTTCGCTAAGGACCAAGGTCCGTCCGATCCTTACGCCCACGTAATCGCGCATCGTTTCGCGCATCGTCGTTCGTATTTTTCGAATTTTTCCTCGCTTTTCCTTCCTTCCTTCTTTCCTTCCTTCCCTTTTCTTTCTCCTTTTTTTTCCTTTTTTTGCGCGCGCGCGCGCGCGGTCGGACTTGTGGCATTAGGAGGTTTGGTTTGCAACAAGCGTGGACTCGAGGCTCGGGCTGTTTTGTGCAGTGAATTGTCGTCGTCGACTCGCGCGGAGACCTTTTCTGTGCCGTGCTACATGTACCCAGGACAGGGATCGCGGCGTGGAACGTAGGAGAGCAACAAACAAAGTAAGTTTTGGATAAAGAGGATAAGCGAAGGTTTGAGAAGGTTGTTCAGGAAGGATTCGTGACGACGGTGAGAATTTTCTTTTTCACACACGTATCTCTCTCTCTCTCTGTCTTTCGCTCTATCTCTCGTTCTCTCGTCTTCGAAGGAATTGGAGGAATTATGGAGGATTAATCGAGTAATGTTTGAAGAAATTTTTATTGACAGTCGAATTCTTCGAGAGGGTTTCAATCGTTGGTTTGAGAACGAGTTTGAGAAAAGTTTCAAACTTGATATGTATCTGTACGTCTATTTGAGAATCTAATTGAATTCATGATGTGATTCATTGTGTGTTTAAGTTTGAAATTACTCAGCGTGGATTTTCTTTTTTAACGCGTATTAGATACTTAATTGAGGATCGTTAACGTTAAGTTGATTTCGATGGATAGTTTTCGATTAGAACACGGAGAGTAAAGTGGTTAGGCTTGGGCGAGTTAGACAGACGCTAATGGTATACAGTTTCTAACTAGTCTCGATTGTGCCGCAATATGGTTCGTTCTGGATGGATGTTGGAGGAGAAACACGAGAGTGAGGATGTTTCTGGTGTTGGTTAAATTAAATGGAGTACGATAGTTTGATGTCTTGATTTGAAATTCGAAGTGTCGTGGCGCAGAAATGAAAAATATAAGAATAGAAATAACGTTTCGAAATTAATATCGTTTACAATTTTCGATTGCAACGAAAGTTTCTTGAAAAATTTTTCCACGATAATTGAAAATTATAATTACAAGAAAAATTTCTTTGTAACAAAAGATTATTTAAATTTATGTACAGGAATAAAAAGATTGTAACTTTCAAGAGTAACGAGAATGAAATAATTAACAAGTGGAGAGAAATAACAATCACATTAAAATTTTTAATGTGAAAGAATAATATCTTGACTCGAGAGTTTTTTCAAACTTAGAAAGATTATCTCAAATTAAAATTAAAATAATTCTTTTAAACTCTCGAGAACGTAAGAAAGAAAATGAAAATTCTTCTGAATAATTCTGATATCTTATTTAAATTATTTATTTCACGTGATAGAAAACGTTCTCTTTCACAAGAAGAAGAGGAAGAAGAAAAAGAAAAAAAAGAAAAATTCCAAGACTTTTTGAAACGATAATACAGTTTTCAAGGGCAAAAATTTCAAGGATTTCTTTTTCAACGTCGTGAAGGAAAAAGGAAGATTAGTTTCTCTGGTAAATTGATAGTGATAAAAAAAGGAAGAAACATTTTCAGACGTCTCGTTTTATTCTATTTCGAGCGTTTGAGCGTAGAGAATGGAACGGTATCCTCTTCTCCTTTCTTCTGCTTCTTTCTGCGCGATTTTCGTTCTGCCCAGTGAACTGTCGCATACATCGACGCGTGGCTATGTAAAATGTGGAAACGGAAGCCTGGAGTCGAAGATTAAATCTCCCGCGATACTACCTGTGTTTTTCATTTTCTCCTTGTTGCGCATCAAGATCGAGGACTTTTTATTTAAAAAAATTTTCGCACGAAAAAATATTATTTCTAAGAATTTTTCATCGAACAATTATGCATAAAAAAAATAGAGGAGAAAAAAAATATTAGAATCTATTCTTTAATAATTTTCAAGAAATAAAAGCGAAGAAGTTGAATAAATCTCAATTTATCAAAAATTAATTTGTACGAATTTAATAATAATCCGCTTTTTGATTAAAATGAATTTGGAAGAGAAATATATAATTCGTTATAAATAAATTTCAATTGATATCGTATTTTAAATTCAATTAAAATGTTTCAATTTTTCGAATCGGGCGAATTACATTGAAAGATCAGCGGTTGGAATTCCTTCCACTTCTAAAAGGCTTCCTCGATAGATTTCCTCGAGGAACAAAGAGAACAATTGCAGCCACAATTTTCATCCTTAAGAGGAAGTTCCGTGGCAAGAACGTAAAACACGCGCCGTAAAATTCGCGAGCTAAAAGTCGCGCAAGAATGGCGGAGGTGAATTGATGGAAGAGAAAGCTTCGTTCCCTGGACGACGAAATCCGAGAGTAGTCGTGGAGGTTCCACGTTCCTTGACCACGTGAATCGGCTATCCAATACCGCAATAAAGGCTGTATAAAAATTAAGAAAA